TTGGATATACAATGGGTATTTTCACAAAGTATAAAGATGATAAACGCGTAGTCATTTGGAATTTGTACAATGATCTCGAATGTAATAAACAAACACCGGTTCTTTCACTTAGTCTATTTTACCATCTTATCAACTACGAGGACTAACTTTCAAAGAACTTTTATTCCAATTACAACAAGACAGAAAAAAGATTGAAAAGTAACCTTGAATTCATCCAGCAGATCATCAAAAAGGTCAGTATCTCATACTGGCAACTATTCATAATTTTGACCCTTTCAAAATGGATTAGTCAAGTATATACAAAATTAATCGCATTTGTAGAGCAATTCAGGATGAATTTTATTAACTAACAAGAGTGAAAATAAAATTCAATCGATCGAAGTCCAGTTTCTTTGATTCATCACAGAACGCCGCCAATTAAGTCGTTTAGTATTGAAATCAACCACCGGTAAAACTGTAGCTGGTCTAGCTGCGGCACGTATATTGGTAGGCCGCTGTCGATAAAACCCGAATTTCGACATCCAGATGACCGACTTTAAAAAGGTCCTCACTATTTTTATTAACAGTATGCTCTTTGTGTGAGAACACAACAAATACGTGTGTTTCTTTAAAAATATATTGACCACAGAGAAAAAACACGATCTTTATTCTTTTGAATACATATAATAATATATAGATGATTTTTTAACTTATATTTTTTACATTGTAAAGTAGGATAAATGTGTGAAAAATGTTGAATCAAATGTACGTACTATATATTCAGTACAAATTATAGGTCTATTGTTACATACGTTTCGCATAACATCAGCTATTGGTTTATATGAATGAAATGTTATAATGTCCAATACTGACAATTTGTGTTGTGCTTATTCTTGTGTCAAAGGCCATTTTGCTATACCAGTTGCTAATAATTGTGATGGATTAACTTCTACAGTTGATTGATAAACATGTTTCAATAGAGGTGAAAGAACCGGTGTTTGTTTATTACATTCGAGATCATTGTACAAATTCCAAATGACTACGCGTTTATCATCTTTATACTTTGTGAAAATACCCATTGTATATCCAAATGAGAAAATAAAGCAAGACAGAGAGAGAGACTTAAAACGTTTACTTTATACAAATGCGAGTTTGTATTCACGATTTTGGAAAGTTTCTTTTCTGTCGATACCACTGCAACAACCGCGAAAGAATGGATTCGATAGGCCACACTACTTTCGAAGTATTCCTGCTAAATTTAGTCAAAATTTCAACTTTTTTCGTTGATTTTCGAGAGAGATTTTCGGTGCTGTTTATGGAGGCGATTTAAGGAAAGACTGAGATTTTCATTATTTTGCTGTTGACCTCAACCAAAATTGAGTTTTTTCCGTTTTTTTCCTTTTATTACATTAGGCCAAAAGTGTGGGTTTGTTTAAATTTGCTCTGATATAACAGAAATTTAACATTTTCAAGCAAAATATTGTCTCTCTCGAAAACCAACGAAAAAAGTTGAAATTTTGACTAAATTTAGCAGGAATACTTCGAAAGTAGTGTGGCCTATCGAAACCATTCTTTCGCGGCTGTTGCAGTGGTACCGACAGAAAAGAAACTTTCCAAAATCGTGAATACAAACTCGCATTTGTATAAAGTAAACATTTTAGGTCTCTCTCTCTCTCTTTCTTTATAATATAACCCATAGACGAGAAGGATAAATACCTAGCCAATAATACATTCAATAGTTTTCTGGTGTGGCAACAATCCTGTTCGCTTGTTGTACTATTATTAGTATATTCGTGTAAACATTCTGTTAGATTAGCAATTTTCTTTAACTTGTATCAAGTTAGCGATAAAACACGTATTTAACCATTAGGCAAACGAAAAGCAAAAGGGCTTCCCAAGAAAGTTGGCACAGCTTTAAATTTTTTAAATGGATATAAATAAAACTGTAAAAATATTGTTCGTTGGGTTAAAATCTCAATGAATATGTTTGTGTTGTACATTGTACTTTGTTGAGAAATAAAAATGTGAAATGCATGCTGAAAAATTTGATCATCAAAAGTATCCTTTTCTGGTGATCATTTCTATCTAAAGCTGTTTGATGATCAAAAGTACATTTACTCAAATTTTACAATAATAACTAGACATACAAAAACTAGTTAGTTTGCCAGACTGAGGCATCCTGAACATTGAGCAGTGTGTTTTATTTCAGCAAAATTTCTAAAATGATAAAATATTTTAATTATTAGTTCGACTGTTTTATATTATCCAATAGTTACATTTCCAATAATCGTTGCTCCTCCGCCATCTTGAAATATATAAAAACTGATCACATATAAGTCCCCGAGCACAGTTGCAAATGTTTGACTTAAATAATCTGTGTAACTATAACATCCATCTGCATAATAATAATAGCCGGTATGTGCATAACTATAGGTATTATGATCGATTCTTCCGTAGGTCCCGCCATGTCCATTTGGATAGGAATAAATCCATGGTGAAAAACTTCCCGTTTCAAATCCGCCATTGACTAAGACTTGTGTACCACCATCGTATACACTAACATCGTCCAAAGACCAAAATCCAGGATCTTGACGTAAGGCAAATGTCAATGTAGCCGAAGACGATGTAGCATACCATTTATATGCATAACACGTATAACCTGAAGCTGTTGTAGTTGGATTTCTAACATTATATAATTGACCTGTTGTTGAGAGAACAGGTGTACACGGTGGAGTAGGAGTTGTAGCTAAGTATATGCGAAAGAAAATATTTTTATATGTTATTCCTCAACTAGTCAGTTATCACTCACTCGCTTGTGTAGTGGTTGTAGTAGATGTGGTAGAAGTAGCTAAAAAAAATCACAAATGATAGAATCACAAATGCTTCATGTTTCGAACATTTTGCGTTTGTTTTTAAAAAATAATTTTTATATATTATACAGCTCAGGAATAGTATCCTATGTCCTGCATTTTAAATAGTAAAGCATACTTGTTGATGTAGTTTGAGTAGTCGTAGTAGAAGTGGTTTCTGTGGCTATATAAAAAAAGAAAAGTCTGTCAGTTAGCATAGAGTAGCATCATCGAGTACACAAAGTGAAATGTCTAATTTTACGTCTGTTTTTATGCACGCTAAAGTTACACTTCGCTTCGACAAAAGAGTAGAACGTTTATTTAAAATCTTTAAAAGTACAAGAAGCGACAAAAGAGGCGGGCAGCCACATTTATCTCTGGTTATGCATAATGGTTCAGAACATGTGCCATGCAGAAAATGCAAGAAAAGCTACGAAGATTAGACAATTGTTGACGACAATGAATGATTAAAAAATCCAAAGTCTGCCACGATGAACTCGGATATTGTTCTGTGGAAAGGAAGTATTGTGGTTCAAAATTTTTCATAGATGTCACAGAAATATAATGGACCCAAATGAAAGACTTCTTACAAGATCTGATGATTTCTTCTGCAATCTTTCTACAAGATCTTTACACAAGACCTCGGAAGATCTTCTCTCAAGCTTATGTATGATCTTATGGAATCTTGTAACTTCTTGTCGTAAGATCTTACAAGATCAGCTTAAAAGACATGTTAAGATCTTGGAACAAGAAATAATATGATCTTGCAAGATTTTTTCAGTAACAGTGTATACTCATGTTAAGTTCTTATCACAAGGTCATACGATTTCTTGTTACAAGATCTTACGCGAAGTGATGATTCATTCTTATCGCATGAATTTTGCTCCCAGATATGTAACATGGTTCTTATGACAACGCTAAGAATTTTTTTCTTCCTTCAACTTGACACATCAGCTAAGCACAAATGAAGTGCATGGCTATAAGGAACTTGGTTAGATACGTTCTTCCTATGCTCCAAAATGTCATGACAAGGAAAAATGCTTTTTAAAGGGGGTCTAGATGGACTATATAGGACAGAACCTGAGACATAATTCTGTAAAGTCTGATGTATTCTCATATAATCTTATGAAATCTTTCCAGATCTTCCCTAGAGGAAAATTTGTTAATAAATCTGATAAATTCTTTTCGGTTTCTTAAACAAGATTTCGCAGGAGAGCTCCAAAAAGTCCATAAGGACATTATAAGAGTCTTACAAGAAAGTCGTAAAAGTTTCATAGGAAAGTCATATGAACTCGTATGAAATTCTTATTTATTTTATACACATTTCTTGCGGTAAGCTTATTAGATTCTTACCAGATTCTGATAAGTATTTTATACTATATAGTATCTCATTTACTCAAAACGTATAAAAAGAGTTATTCTAGACAACAAGTCAGCTA